TAATGGTTGTTTTTTGGCGCCTGTCCTTTTCTAAATGCACTTATCGAGATTTATCTGAGGGGGTCGTTATTTTTAACGAGTAAGATGTAAAAATCTAATTTACTAAATAACCAGGTAATAAAATGAGATTAAAAGTAGACCTGTTTTCCTCGTTTTGTTCTTGTTTCCTGTCATAAATCTCCCGTTCCTTCATATTAACTTGATCAAAGTTTGTAATAATGAGCTCAGTGCATGTACAGTCATCCCTCTGAGCCGATAGGTCAGGCTGCACTCATTTTATCAGGCTTTTCTATTCCTGGAACTTTGTGATGTCACAGAGAACGGTGGAGCAGCCAGAACTGAAAGATCTCCCATGTACAGGAGTATTTTTTAATAACAGGCATTTTTTATGCTCTCATATTCTCTTAAGTGCTGCCGAGAGGACGCCAAAGCAGCGGGTGTCGACATCATCCCAACCAACCACAAACAAGAACGCAGCGCACATGATGTCCAAACACAGAGATGAAGGTTTACTTTCAGAGTTGCAAGACTAAATTTCCTGGTTTGGGAAAATCTTCACCTTCACAGGAGCTTCTCAGAGACCGCACAGAGGCTCAGTGTGAGCTAAAGGATTATTTTGAACTGCATATCATGCAAAGCTGCTAGTAAAGCAGAGCAGATGAATCGTTTCATTTACGACTGCAAAGCTACAGCTGAGAGCCGCCGTTACAGACAGGAAGTGCTGGACAACAGCGAGGCTCTAAAGTCGGCTCGTAGGATCGATTCGACCAATAGCGACATCTGAGCCCGACTCCTGTACTAAATATCTCACCCTTATACTCGGCACTGATCCAGCTGCTGTCTGGTACTAATGAGACAACTTTTTCTTTTTTACTGCGTAATAATAATAATAATAAAAGTAATTGTGCTGAAAAACCACTGGCAGCTAAAATCACTGAAAACGCTCCAGAAACTTCTCATAATTCCCTCAAACTGTAACTACAACTCTGACCACCAGGGGGCGACGTGTCGCCAGCAGACTGTTGCAATCTTTCCATCTTCTACTTCAGTTTCCTCAACAGATCTGATCCCAGAAAAAGGGTGTTCTTAATAAGCTGGTTAAATAAAGGTTGCAGTGGCTCGCTGGTTGTGGTACGAATGAAAGTACAGCCCAGCTGAAGTTCATCCTTCAGCTTCAATAAAACCAGATAAATACACACCTCTTTGTTTCAAACTTGAACGCCTCCCCTCAGGTGGACCTGAAACTGTGTTTTTTCCACTGCAATGACGTTGCATCAGCTGCTGGGGGCGCTGTTGGTCTTGGGTAAAGATCCTGAGAGGATGTAAAATGGTAATTATACAGCTGTGTTATTTGAAGACCTCAGATCTGAATAATCAGGGCCAACTGGTCGACGTTTTCATCGCGGCTCGTTAAGAAGCAGCCCTTTGACGGTTTGTGAGGTCTTCCTCAGGCTGCTCAGGCTCGCTGTTTTGCTGCAGACGGCACTTTCTGAGCTCTGCAGCTGAAGGGCTGACAACAACAACCTCATCTAATCCCCTCACACCGACTCATCACGCTCACAGCCACCACACTGTTGTTACCAGGACTGAACACCGATTGCTGTTTTTCTCTTCCTCTCAAGAATGGAAAGTTTAGACGA